GAGTTACTTCCACCCCCTACACCCCAACCCTGAAGAAAATTGAGGTGAGGAAGGGGTAACTTAAAGCACAAAAAAATCATATCTTGGTGCTCCATATCAAGACTAAGATGAAAATTAGAACTAAGAATTAGCTAAGAATTAAATGGAAAATGAAGCAAATTTATGGCTTTACTTTTTATAGAAGTCTTGGTATGAATAATTATAACATCATTTTGTGTTTTACTCCCACCCCCTCCACCCCCATCGTCAAGAAATTAAGTGTGAGGATGCATAAATTAAACACCAAAAGTAATATTGTGATTTTGCATATAGAGACTAAATGGCCATTAGAACTCAAGAATTAGCTAAGAATTAAAGGAAAAGCGCAATGAAACAGGAGTACATTCTTTTCGTTCCTTAAAGGAACTTTCAAAGAACTGTAGAAGCTGTAGACCAAAAAAAAAGCACTTTATCCAAAGTCAATGGATTTAGAATCAGCCTCCAGTGGAAGCTCTTTCAGATCTAAAATATCAAACATCACCTACAAAACTTTGGAGATTATGTAGGACACACTCATAATTACACAATTACTTGTAAATAAGGAAATCTGCAGCACTGTCTTGCCAAGTTTAAGGTAGAAAGATAAGATATTACGATGGAAGAGAGAAAAGAGAAAGGTGAGGCAAGAAGGGAGAGGGAAAAGGAGAAAGATGAAGAAAAGGGTTGAAGAAATTGAGAGAAACCAGAATTTAGAGAAAAATAAATGCTTCAAATTCCATTCCACTAACAATAAGATCCAACTCACATCAAATATCTTTATATTGGCAAAAAAGGGTGTTAAAAGAGCCAATAGAAATCTTGGCAACCAAACAAATTGGCCACTTGAGATAGTCATCATATTTTGTCCAACGGAAAAAGGCACAAGTTGGCAACTTGTGGTTGCCACCCCCTTTGGCCACCATCTTTGGACTCATAAAAAGTGGAGCAAATTGGCCATTCGGAAGGAAAATTGACAAATTACTACCACCTCTGGACCAATCAAAAGTGTAGCACAAGGGGCCATCTCATCCTAAGAAAAATGAACAAATAAGTAACAAGCAACATAACTCTAAATCTTGCTAATATGCCAAACAAGTATATAATATAAGAACATCAAATTCAAACATTACACGAGTATTATAAAGACACTTTCAAGTACCCAAAACATTTCATCTTATAGCTTGTTCTCATTTGTCATCATTATCCTTCACTTGATAATAACTCAACCTTGAATTTTTAAGTAACAAAGATAAAGATTTCACAAATTAAGACCCCAGAAATTCATGGTCCCCCTGGGAAAACAAAAGGTTGATCATAATCACAGGTTCCACCTGAGCATGAAACCAAGTAGGTACAATTTTCCTTCATAGAAACCAAAATGGTATTGTTAAGAAAGGAAAAAAAACAGTTACAATAGGAATTAGGTAGCATCCAATATGTATAAGAAAAAAGGAAGAAAAAGGAGAAAAGCTAACTAGTCTTGCAAAAGAAGCTAATCTTTATACAACGCAAAAAGACTAAAAGAAGAAATTTTATCACAAAGAATCCAAAAATATAATCCTCAAAATCATAGCATTTATCTCCAGCCATATCAATCACAGCCCAGCAAAATAAGACCCACACTAAAGAGCTTTAATCTCCTTCATACTCTATCAACATAACAGAAAAGGAAAAAAACATATTGTCCATGAGAAGGCCCAGAAACACCAAAAGTATCAAAGCTCCAATGCCAAATTCTCCAAGCCAGATCACAATGCAAGAAAATGATTATTAGTCTCCGTGTCTCTAAGACACATCACCGAAGCCCTTTAGGACCAGGCCACAATTACATCTGCAGCTTGAGCATATTTGTAGTACTAAGCCTACCAAAATTGTATTCAAACAAAAACTTTGAACTTAGGAGAAGGGACCTTCCAGAAAAACTTAATAGGATTATGAATTGGAAAGCCAAGGTAAGACCACAATTTGCACGTACTGGACATCAATTTCATTCATAAGTAAAGGATGTAGTAAATCTTTTCTATCACAAGTTTGACCAACATTGCTAAAAAGACTAAGAGCTTCAATTTCTTCAACTTGTTCTTCGTGTAGCAAATCAAGAGATTCATTCACAAATGGATGGATATTGAAACTATTTTTTGCCACATCTTTGATCAACATTGTTGAAAAGTTTAGGACTAAGCTTCAATTTCTACATCTCGTGAATGACTAACAGAAATGTCAAATCTGGACTTTACTGACAAAAGAGAAGTTCCTCAGTTCTACTGGAACTTCAAACCCCGAGTATAAATATGGATAACACTGATTTCTAGTTGACAACAAAAGTCATAAATGCATCAACCATCTAGAGAATTTTGACTCAGATAGCTTCTTGAAGACATCAATACCAAAGAAAGCTTGATGACACTGAAGTATATCAGTCCTCTCTATCCACATAAAATCAAAAACCAGATAAAACATATTATTCACAATCAAATAGGTTAGATAAGTGAACTTCAATCAGGAGATGGTTTGTCTCCACCTTAAAACAAGACCATTTTTTGCAAGAGAATGCTCAAGAGTTGTGTAAGGGAAAGCATGGGTATTTGATCCTCAGACCTGCTAGTTATAGCCTAGGAAAATAGAAGAATAAGTAAAGAACAAAAGGAGACTATTACGATTAGGGACAAAGGGCAAGAGAAATCAAGAAGTAGATTTCCAAGAACTGAAACAAAAGGACAGAGACTAAGGTGGAGATGTAGAAAGCTAAGAACCAGAAAAGAGAATATCTGTGCTCTGATTCCCCACTTCATGTCAGCAATATTTCAACAATTAAACAGGTACTAGTATATAAAGTAAGGGGCAGCACTGTTTCTGCAAGTTCAAGGAAGAAAGAGACAGATAAGGAGAAGAAGAGAACAGTGGGGAAAAAAGGGAGAGGGGAATGAGGGAGAAAGGGAATTAAAATGGTTGAAGAAAGGAGAGAAACAGAAATTTAGAGAGAGGAACCCTTCAAACTCTATCTAGTAATAATATGATTCTCACTACATAGAGATATTTTTTTTCAGGCAAAAAAGGATCCCAAAAGAGCCAAGAACGATCTTGGAAACTAGACAAGTTAGCCACTTGATATTGTCATCATTTTTTCTCCAGTAGGAGGTGGCACAAGTAGCCAACCTCACCATCATTGGACCCATGAGAAGTGAGACAAAGCGGCCACTTGGAAGGTAAATCGACGACCTGTCACCACTTTTGGACCAATCAAAAGTCTAGCACAAGGTTTCACCTCCTCCTAAGATGGTTTGTCTCCACCAAATTTTTATGCTAGGTAATATTTTTTACGCTATATAATGGAAGAAGACATACATAAAAAAAGATAGATATTATATGAACAATTTCTAATAATAGAATGTTCCATCTTTAGCTAGTTTCCGTTGTGAATCACTAAAGCTATTAAACTGTTGAATGCTACAAGGTGCTCATTTCATCAACGAACTATGAAAGTGCCCAAACCACCAAGGGTGTAATCAGCAGTTTTAGAACTCCTAAGTGGTACAATACTATTTGGGATTCTATTCCCTGATTAAGTCATTAAGTTCCCTTGCTATTCAACTGAACTTTTTTTTTTAATATAAACAAGCTATTCAACTGAAATATATATTATTAATTACCTCAGTTCTACATCAGATGAGAAGAAAAATGGGTTTCCATGCACCTGATCTACCGTGAAGCAGTAATCTACATACACTAGTATTTAATGGGAATGACAAGGAGCAAAATTTATTAATCGGATAAACACACGAACTTGGAAAATTTTCTATGCAGTTTCACTACTGTGAAGCAGAAATGTACCCACATGGGCCACTTGTTGATGAGGAATAACAAGGGGCAAAATGTACTAAGTATATAAGGACAAGAACCTGGAAAAAGCATCATTATTGGAGCAGACTTATTCTGATGAGCTTCTTGAACTCTTTCAGTCACAACACCTGCAAGCAAGAGACGGTCATTCAACACTCCATGCTTCAGATAATAAGAGACACTAAATGAGTTACTACATTGCGCAATATTGACATACTACATTCAACAATTAGCACAGGGTGGTACAAAGAAGCAAGACAAAAGAAGTGGCAATAGCACTTAATATCTTTTATTTATGAGAACAACACTTAAATATCTTTTATTGATAAGCTCATTTATCCGCTTTCATTTTCTCCAAGAGCTGAAGGAGCGATTTTCTGACTATTTATTATCGGCATAAAAGTTCACAAAATCTTAATCTCAAATTTTAATAGGAGAATCTTTTATTAATAAGCTCATTTATCATCTTTCATTATTTTCAAGCGCTGAAGGAGCTGTTTTCTCATTGTTCATTGTTTACACAAAAGTTACAGAATTTTCATTGCAAAGTTGGTTAATACATCTGAAGCACTCAATGTTCACATGATGAGAAAGCAGAAGGCAGTGGACTGTGGAATTTACTTTACCTGATTTATCATGTGCATTACTGCACTGGTCATGTTACTAAAATTGCTTTACTTTTGTCCAAAAGAATAAAAGATGGCATAAGAAACATAATTATCTACCTGAAACACCTTTAAAATCGGTCGATTTTGACTCCCGCTGAACGTACACACATCCCAGGCATTTGCTGCCAAAGAGAAACAATAAGAACAAAACCATCCAGAACATTACACTAATGCTAAAATAGAACCTCCAAGACCATAAGAAAAATAAGTTTTCAGAAGTTTATGGTAAAATCTTAAGCATGTATTATTCCTGTAAAACCAGGACATAGACCTTTAAGTCCTAACTCCTCTCTCTTGTGGGAAAGGAGGGAAAGGGAATATTAATTACTGTAATTCAGACCAGAGCCTCTAAATCTGATAGTATGAAAATATAACTTCCCCAAAAAATTTAAATTGATAAGTAAGACTCAAGCTATCTTGTACATTTATCTATATGTATAAATAGAATTGAGAATACAAGGCAGGAAGATGAATATCCTCCTAAGAGCAAAGAGACCAAATAGGTAAAAAGGAAGGCATAAAATTTCACATGCAAAATAAATACGTCAAAGAATTTGACATTCAGCAGAGAATAGTCAATAGGCATGGTAAAATTTCATTAAGGATGAATTGCGAAGATACTCTCAATAGTTTGGCTTAGATATATAGCAGACCAACCTGATGAGACCAACTAGAGGGAGTTTAGCCACTGATCTCTTCAGCAATAAAATCCAGGATTGCATAACCAACATATAGAAAGAAATGTGTCAGTAACAACACAAGATACAAGCTAATATTATCAGAACTCTAACATAAGTAACCACGAAATTCATGATCATAAAAAATTCTTAAGTAGGAAAAGTAAACGGACCTTGGCAACAAATCTTGGAAAAGAAGAAGACATATGATACAAAATATCCAGATATGATACATGATTAGATATAACAGCACCAGGCCTTTCAGGTTCTTCGGATTGATCTTTGCTCTCATTCTAGCCAAAAATTAGGGCGAAGAACAAGGTTACTTTCATGCACCACATATCTTTAAGTATATGAAAACTTAATTCAAAATATTAAAGAATAACTCACAGGAGAAAGGGCAACATAAACAGCACTCATTATCAATGCTCAATGATACCATCTTATAGGTGAGAGGAAAATTCCTAATCACTAAAATGAGGTAACACATGGTATTGCTCTTCTTGACTGTTAGCAACTTTAGCCATAAAACCACTCTAATTAATGAAGACACAAAAAGGCAATCATCAAGCACGTAGAAGCCGATCTGTTAGATAAATCAAGTAACTCTTCATAAGACATCCAATAGATTGAGGTTTCTATGTACCATATCTCTTAATTATTGAAATATGCCCACTTTAAGATCTTCTTGTTATGCATCAAATGGTGAAACAGAAACTTTGAGTAGGAGAATAAAAAGAAAGAGGAATCAGAGAGACTAGAATGAAATGAAAAAGAAGAACTAGAAGGGGACAAGTAAAAGGGGCAAAACGACATTTCCTATTTTTTTCCCTTCCGTATTCCTTTAAGCAAATAAAGCCCTTTTATAGAAGTTTCTAGCAATGTTCTAGAAATATCCTCTAAGTAATCCCTAACAAATCCCCAATTTCTTGCAATTTCCCACTAAGCTCAACTTATGCAAAATCGGGTAAGTTTATATTGTCGATATATATTAGAAATTACATTCTTTCAGACATAAAACTCAAGTACTATTATGGGTCTATTATTTTAATTTCAGTAATTTTAGGTTTTTTTAGTACTTTGCTTTCCTATTCTTATTAGAATTAGCAAATCTTAGTTTAATCCCACTTGAGAAAGGTTACTTAGGAAGCATCATATATGTTATGTAATCTCACTATATGAAACCATACAATTTAGTTATTCAATAAAGTTCTTTAAAAATTCTCCCAATTTTCTTGTTGTAAGATGCAATTAAATCTTAAGTGATGCTTAAAACTTCTTACATGATGTTTAGGAAACCTGAGTTTATTATCTAGGCTTCCATTCTCAAATCTCTATGTAGGTAAACTAAACACATTTTTTCCTACATCAGTTAATGCGATGTAGGAGAGACGGAGTTGATTTTTTCAATTAGGAATTTGGAGATTAAAAACCCAAATATCACGTGTAAGGTTTCTTAGATATTATACGTAAGAACTCTTACGCATAATGAGTCAAAGTTTGATTACATCACACAACAAAAATATTGAGAAACTCTCGTAATATTAATGAATTCTTAAATGCCTCAGTAAGTGAAATTACAAAGATATTTATAATAATTTATAAGTAATATTTTCTAAATAAAATTAAACTAAGAAATAGTAAACTAGTAGAATTAGAAATATTAATCCCAATAAAAACAATAAATTAATACTAATAATATTACGAAATACTAAATCTAATACAAATAGGAAAATATTGATGACGCGGGAGGGTATGGAGAGGATAGAATTAACACATATAACCTACTCAACGTTGTGCAATACTAAAACTTTAACCACCTAAATAAACTCTTCCCTCTAATTAAATCTTCAATACTGAAAGAAATGCAAAAACAAAAATTAGAGAAAATAAAATAAGAAAATGAAAAATGCCACGGATTTACTGATAAGTTGATGCTTGTTTTTTGGCTCAACAAGACTTCTGAACACTCTTACTCATTGAAGAACTTGAAGAAACTAAAAATTAACAAAAACGCTAATAGAAGAAAAACCTAACCTTTCAAGAATTTTTCTCAAATTGATTACAATTGGTGTGTTTACATCTTATGGGCAAAATCCTATTTATAGCCTTTTTCGGAACAATCTACATGAGTACAAACTCTTAAATAAATTAATAAAATAATATTTTAAATAAAATTCTATCTAATTCTAAGATAATTATATAATAAAATATTTATTTTATCTCATCTAAATACAAATGAATTAATTAAATAATCATAAAGATAGAATTTATAATAAAATAATAATTAAAATTAGATAAAACTTATTCTATATGATTTCTATGTAAAACACATGGAAAAATTATTTTAGACATGTAAGAAGTAATTTAAAAACATGGAAAATTAAAAAGTGGGTTCCAAATTCTTTTAAATGTTTAAAAAATATTAATTAATTGATTAAAAAAACAGAGAGGGCCGTTTTTTTGGGGCAACCCGATCGGATTGGGCCGACCAGCCCGCTCGGGTCGCGCAGGGCCGGCCCGCAGGGGCCACAGGCTTGCGCAACTTGGGCCAGCTTGGCCGGTTTCTAGCCCAACCGCGTGGGGCGGCTAGGTGGGGCTTGTCGGTCGTGGGTTTCCTTCTCCTGGGTCATGGGTCGCGCGCCAGGCGGACTTGTGGGCCACGTGGGGTTGCTGCGGGGTGTGGGCTTGGGCTACACGCGTGCGCACTTGCTGGGCGTGGGCCGAATGGCTAGCACACATGCGGGCTAGTTCGCGCATGTGCGTGCGCACCATGCGTGCAGGGAGCCTTGTCCGCACATGCGTACGGGTCGTCCTAAGGCGCAACATGGGTCGACCTTTTGCCTTTGGGTTTGATCTTATTGGGTCGTGGTCCACTTTGGTCGTATGGCTTTGAAGCCATCTTGGGTTGGGCCAAAAGTAGGCTTTTCCTTTCGATCCTTTAAGCCCATTATTCTTACTTGGGCCTTAAACCTTTTGCCTTGGACAAACTTAGCCCATCTCTTGGAATAATCCCAATTAGGAAAGCTTTCAGGGATGAAATTATTTTCCTGTTCTAGGCATCCCTCATTGATGCAAGATTGTATCTTTAGAACTAATTCTCAGCTGTTTATGATGACATCATCCCATCCCTTCAAAAAGATTCGTCTTCGAATCTGAACATTCATCATAAGGGAAAAGATTAGTAATTACAATAGAAAACACATCATACTTTCCCGGTATGTTTACTTTGTTGTTGATGCATGTCGTGACTTGATTCATAATTCATCCGGGATCTGGATCAAATTTTCGTAACCCACTTGCCATGCTAATTATCTGTAAGAGGAAAACAGTACGACTAGGCATAGGGTGGTTAAGGTCAAAATGAATCTCCCTGTAGCTAAGTACAATCAAACTTTCCTTTTCACAAGAGATATTCATTAACATTTTGTCCCTATCTTCAAGACATTGTTATTTTCTCTCTCTATTTTTCTCTTAATGGACCATCTTTAACTGTCTGTTGGGCAACCTTTATGCTTAATGGGTCATTGATCTTCTCTGCGGCTTTTCTTCTCTCTTCTGCCTTTCTTGAGTATTCATCAAAGGACCGTTTAATTTTGACCTAATCTTCATGTACCTCTTTTGATGACAAAGGCGTAAAAACATGATTCAGACCGTCCTTTCACAATGAATATCGGTTAGCGTGACAACTATGTTGTACCTGTCTGTCAAACTACCAAAGTCTCCCAAGTATCAAATGACTGGCATGCATAAGTACAATATTACAACATACCTCGTCGTGATATTTTTCGATGAAGAACAGTACTGTAACTTATTCGGTAACTTGAAATTCGCTACACTCATTCAACCATTATAACCTGTATGGAGCCAGATGCTTGATGTATGTCAACCCTACTCTTTCCACGAATAGAGTGTTTGCCACATTAGCACAACTACCACTGTCAATGATTATTCCACATACCTTACCATTGACAAGACATCGTGTGTGGAAAATGTTCTCTCTTTGCTCGTTGTTTTCACTCCTAACTTGCACGTTGAGAGCTCTTCGCAAAACAAGGACATTACTTCCAAGTGGAACATCTTCGATGGATTGAGACATAGTGTAGTACCTGTAAGAAAGGTTAGTAAAAAGAATACGTTCTCTCCCTCACCTTCTCTCGTGTTTACCTGACAATCTCTTAATTGATAGTTTTGTTTGTCGAGTTGAGCGTTCGGAACTAGAATCGCTTGAATCGGGTCTGTACATTAGTTCTTATGATACAACAAGAAACCCTAAAGAATTTTGATTTCTACTGAAGTTCAGAATTGAGCACACAGAGGAAGAAATAGTGCGCTTCTTGTGTGTTAAGCAACTAGAACCGATTAGGTATGTGAAACACAAAGGAAGGAATAGTCACTTAGTAATAATAATTTTTTTGTAATGAAACAAAAGTAAAATAAACGATAAAAACGTAGATCACAAAGAATGACAATTTGGCCTGATGCATAGGAATCCGATCAAATCCAGATGGATATAATCGGAAGGTATATTTACCTATACTACCCTCAATTTATCGGTTACGCTCTATGACTGGTCAAGTTTCTTTATGCAATGTTGATGCAAGATTATACAAATACAATTAAAAAATTAAACATGGATAATATGCTGAATGAAAACAAAAGTCTTTGCTCGCACCGTTTAGATGAGGTACTTTACCTCCAATTGCTCAAAGGATTTCTAATAACCAATCAGGTGGCATTCTGCTTTTATTATTGAAAATGCAAACAACGTGTCAATTGTCTTATGGGGTGCAATTGGAGTATCTTTGTATTTTTGATATATATAAAAAAAAATTTTGAATAATAAATACGAACAACTTGAATTGAACAGATTGATATGAATTCTAGCAGAATTCAATAAGAATTAACAAATCAAAAATTAATTTGAATTGTTAATTAAAGAACAAAAATGTTGAAAGTAATAAAGATAGATTTGGGTTCTATGAGTCTAAACTCTGATACCAGATCACGCGAAAGGGTATGGGAAGAATCGAATCAATTCCTATAACCCACTCAACGTTGTGCAATACCGAAACTTTAACCACTTAGATAATCCCTCTAATTGAATTTACAATACTAAAAGAAATGCAAAAACAAATATTAGTGAAAATAAAACAAAGAAAGGAAAAATGTCACGGACTTACTGATAAGTTGATCCCCGCTACTTTGCTCAACAAGATTTCTGAAAATTCTTACTTCTCGAAAAACTTGAAGAAACTAAAAATTAACAAAAATGCTAATAGAAGAAAAGTTTAACCTTTCAA